TTTAAATATAACATTAACTTTTCTAACACTAACTTTTCCCCCAACACCAATTCCCAATTTCGTAAAAATGAAACCCCATTTCATGTATTGCACAAAGAAAAAAGCATTGGAAGAACATATACACAACATGATGAACACATGTATTATATATTACGATACCTCAACAATGATCCTTTAAGACTAACCCCTTCTCCACTAAGTACTACTGCAGATGATCCCGAGTATGGTGTTAATGATACTCTTGATGAGATAGCAGGAGACCCTTAATTAGGCTCTTTTACTTTAGATGTGATCAAGATTTCTGATTGTATTTCACTTCTACTTTGTTGAAGTTCTAACTTTTTATGGTACATCATGTGAAGCTTCAACTTGCATGGATGCCATTGGCTTTTCTTCTTAGGCAGAAATTGTTTGTCTTTGTTGTGATTCAAATGTAAAAGACACAAAGCTTGACTTTCTATATGTTTTTTTTCTTGTTTCTAAAATTAGTTATGTTTTTCCATATTCATTTAAATAATCTCACTTTCACGTGGGGAAAAGATCTGCATGACATGATACTAGGCGTCTGATGCGTCAGTAGGGGCATGTGCGTGATATGGTATTGAATGTGTGACACAATGTATATATGATTTGTGATGAGATAGTGAAATGGATTGGTTTAGAGTTAATGATGTTGAGCATGTTTGAATGATGGATATTGTGTTATTATATTATTGTAAATTGAGATTGTTTTGTGAAAATTTCCTATTGTGCTTTTCATATAGATCTCTTCTTTTCTCACCATACATTTCGTGATTATTTTTAGGTGAGAAAGATCCGGACATGAATGACATTTAAGGTGTTAATAGTCGAGTCATGGAATTGCTATGATAATGTGATATCAAGGCAAGAGATTTTAGATTATTCATTTTATTGTAATTGGATTTATATTTCTTTGATAGTTGAGTTTATGTTATATTTTTTAATTTTTATTTAAAATTATTTGGACAGTTGAAAGTATTTTTGTATGTGAACCATTTTACTCGTGTTGAAAGAGTTATTCTTTATTATATATATATATATATATATATATATATATATATATGTTGGAGTAGAGTGTGTGTCACATAGATAAAGTAGAACAAGTTAATATTTCACTAATTTTTCAAAAAACAAGGTATTGGAACATATTTACTAATGATTTCACTTGCACACAATGACACTACAACAAAAAGAATTTTTGATAATATTTGAAAAAGATTATCTAATTATGTATAAATGTTAATTTGCTTTTCTCACATATTATCAAATGTTTTATATAGTTTATATCGCTAAAGATTTTTAATAAGATTTTTTATATGGATAATATTTTTTAAATGTTATCAAAATGATATTTTTGTAACAATTTAATAATGTTGCTAAGTTTTAGTTAACTTTATAAAATGATAATTAATTTTAATATAGATGTTTCTATCACTTATATTTTATAACTCCTAGTCTCCTACAAATTCTTTAAGTTGAAAACATACTTAGTTATTCATCACAAAATTTATATCACATATCAAAGTTCATTTATCTTAAATATAACTATATAATTATAAATTACTTATTTTTTAATTTATTTATATTCGATATGAAACTTTAACTTTGAAAAACAATTAGAGATTGAAGAATATATTCTTTTTGTGATATTTTTTTTACTTGGTGTTGGATTTTAATTTTGAAAATAATTAGAAAGAATAATATTGAAATAAAAATATTACTTTATTTATAGTAACATTTTTCAGAAAAAAAATGTTACAAAATAATATATTTACTAATTTATAGTAACATTTTAATAAATATAATTAGGTAAATATTATTAAAGAAATAAAATATAGTAATATATGTTGGGAGTGATAGATGTATACATATCAAAGTGAAACAATGATGATAGAATACTTGGTTTCGTTAGATTTGTTAATTTGAGCTAGTGACCCAAAGGATTCGGAGGATAGATCATATAGGGTTCGGGACTTACAAGTTAAAAGAAAAAAATTATTAGCTAGTCCAACACAATTAAGTGTTAACAGTTTCAACTAATATTTGCATCATATGCATTTAAAAATGTTAATTTATAAAAAAAAAAAGTTAATAACAATTTATTGCATATCATATAAAATTTAACTACAGATGTATTTTAATTAGGACCACGTAATGAGATTTTAAGTTTTGATCGATCCATCATATTTCAACAGGAGGAATGGAATAAAACCGTACAAAATAAATACAATATAGCAACTAAAATATATAGTCGCTAAATCATCAAAATTTGTCACTAATTATGTCGGTATCGAATATTAATGAAATTGCAAAGTCATTTAGCGAACAAAATATACTTTGTCATTACTTTACAAGTGGATACTTTCATTGCAAACAAAAATGTTCATCGTTGTGTTTGATTGCCATATTACCGTGTGTTTGCATCCGCGTTTTAACGTGGTTTTTCACGTTCAACTTGAAGTAATGAATAGCTGCTTCTACGTAAATCCGTATATAAACGTGAAGAGACGAAAGAATTGCGTTTCAAAATGAAAAGCAAACACCCACTTAGTCGGTCTCTATATTTTACAATTAAACATCATGGTCTTCGAACTTTAATTTACACAAGTGTAAAAGCTTTCATTTTTCACGTGATTTGTCTCGTAAATTCTTTGGGGTTTTATTGATCGAATATTTGCCAAGAGATTTGTGGCGTGAAATCGTTTGCTTTTGTAAAAAGTGGGACATGCAAGGGAAAAGGAAATCCACTCGTCCGACATTTTTTCTTTATTGAGAAGAGCAGTTTTTTTTTCTTGTCCACGTTGCATATCACGGGACAAATAGTGTTCAGATAATTGAAAAGCTAGTTGTGATAGACTTTCAATAAAACGGATGTATAATACTGTCCATACAAGAAAGCAACATGTTAACCAGACCAAATTCAGGATTAATTAATCTGCGTGCTGCCATAAAAATAATTGATAAAAAATAATACAAAGCAGAGCTTTTATGAATTATTAAAATATGAATATTACTATTCAATATTTTTATTCATCAAATTCACTAAATTTTTACGGAAACCTCTTTGAAATTCAAACAAAAAAAATAATGTAACTCAAATTATATACAGTGTCAATTTCTTGATTTTTCAAATAATGTAACTCAAATTATAACAAAATAATTATTCAGTTCGTACATAGAAATGTTGGATCGCCCATCCGATCTGCTTTTAACAATAATTAGGGCAATGAAGTAGTTTATTTATTTATCCTGTTTTGGATCGAATAAGTAGTTTGATTTTTTATTCCTTACATGTAACTCCAAAGGAAGAAACGACATACTTGATGCCAATGGTTTCAGATAAGCAATCATGTACAATTGATAAATCATTATCACCAGTTAATTTCTCCCTCGTAGTGAGCATTAGTCATGGTCTATTTAAATTGAGGGTAAATGATTCAATATTTTAATGATAATATCGTGGAGAACTTTGATTGACAAGAAAGTTGTGTGCTATATAGCATCATGTTTTTTTGGCATATGATTCATTGTCGTATCCTAACGGTGATCTGACTTGTAGGACACTTCTATTGTGGTAGAGGGACATAATTAGAGTGGAGGAATATGAGAGAATGTTTTGTGATCTCTTTAGCCTTGACTAAAATGATAAAACTTGAAGTCGAGGTAAAATTTTGCCTGAAATTTGGATTAGAAATGTATGTTTAAAAGAGACTTTTCTTCGGTTGGTCCTCATCTATAACGATAAAGGGGTTTGAGCGGATTTATAGAGAACATGTAGTAGTGAATATATATATATATATATATATAGACGTGGATTGCAAGGAAGAAGCAAATATTCATTGAATTATCTAACTTAATTTCCTTAAGCAGAGAATGGGTGTGGCCAAGTTGGATTGTTCTTGAATTTCCAAGTAAAATTTGCATATTTTCTGCTCTAGAATATGTTAGCTTATCACTCCTAAGAGATCTGTTGCCGAAGTTTTTTCCTTAGTTTTGGAGCTGTATAACTCTATTAAAGGTCCTAATATTTTCATGGCGTTTTTTTGTTTAGATAGCCAGCTACGATGAGATTATATAAGAGAAATATTATTCTCAATGTGCAGGAGACTAACTGTGTTTCATTCAATCTGAACTACAAGGACACAAATCATCTCTTATTTTCATGTTTAGAATCCTTTAAGGCATGCTAAGATATTTTTTTTGTTTAGATTGGTTTTGACGTGTCCTTTGTATACGGGTACTTCTACTACCTTCAACATAGAGGGCAGATGAGTTGGAAAAAAAATGAAAAGATAGAGTATGGATGTTACTTTGACATGTAATTTTTGATACTATATGTGAAGAGAAATAATATTATTCAAACATGCTCACCTTTATTGACTTCCATCGGTTGATGAATTCTATTAAATCTCTCTTATGGATGGTTTAAAGAAAATCGAAAATTTTAGTGTATTGCTCTTACAATTATATTAATTAACCCTTTAGGATATATGTCTCACAGTTGATATGACAATTGTATGAGAAGGTAAGTGAATCGCCATAGCTAAGTGGCTCTAATTAGTTGTAGGAGTATGTGACATTATAGCATGTTATGTTATATGCTCCCATGTTTCTATTATAATATGTTGGGGAAAGCTTTTACTACATCCGTATCATTTTACCAACTTATAATTAAGCATGTTTTATGCTTAGTTGAGTCTTAATAAAAAAAATATCTATAAAATACTATTCATGACATTTTTAACCAACACTCGATTAGTTACGTGTACCCTCTCCTAATAAATGTATGGCGGCTATTAGAAATAAAATAACTCATTAACTAATAACGAGCTCATTTGCAAACGCGTGTTACCGTTCCTTTTTTATATTCTTTGTTATCCTCTTGCTGGGGCTGGCAGCAGTGGACGAAAGTTAATTAGAAGGGTCAAGTAATTTACCTGATCAGTTGCTGATCTCATTCACCAAAAGACAAAAAGAAATGGCAGAAATAAACTAAGAACTATTTTGTAATATAGTAACACCTCTCAATCAAATAAATAACACACAAGTTCATCATCTTCGATCTTCGGCTCCCCTGCGATTTACATAAGCAAGCACCGAAACTTTATTCATTGCAACACTAGTACTCTAGTGAATAGCCATACAATTGAAAAACACTAAAAGGAACGAATAACGACAAGTTAACCGTCCATGCACGTACAAGAATCACACACGCTGGTCAATCGAATTCAATAAAAAAAAAAATAGAAAGCCACATGACTAGCAAATCCGAAGCAAAAGTAGATGGCATGATATGATTAGGCACATTGGAAATCATGCGGGACTTTCCTTGAGCAAACATTGAGGAGCAAGCTGAGTGAGATGGGAAGGTTAAGGTTGATGCCCAAAATGTTAGCTTTGAGGGCAGTGCAAAGGCACAATGCAGCCTCAAGGTCAACGAGACCGTCGAGGAGGGTGCAGCAAGGGGTGACCGGTGGTTGACCCAAAGTGGCGTTGAGCAAGCCGTTTAGCACGTTGGCGCATACACCTAGTTTGAGTGCGTCACGGGGGCACGATCCACTAGGACTGGGGGTAGGGTTTGGCTTTGGCTTTGGCTTTGGACCAGGGCATGAATAGGTACCGCATGCAGAGACAAGTGAGAAGAAGAGGAGGTTGAGCGTGAGGAAAAGAGCGAGGGTGGAGCAAGGTTTGGAAGCCATGGCGTATATATGTTTATACTTTATACTCCTAGTCACTAGCAAGTATATATGCTAATATTTCTGGTTAACTGCTAGAGCTTAGGAGAAGAGCTAGCGTTTGTAAAGATGGGAGTAATTTGCAATGGATGGGGTGGTTTATATACTGCTCATGCTGCTTTCAATTGCCTAGGGGGATACCATTACGAGTCTGTTAAAAAAATGAGCAAGTAGTTCGTCCTACATACAGCTAAAATATATAAATAAGTTAAAAGACATTTAAAAATTAAAATTGATTTAATTGATTGTATAATTCTTTTACTGATAATGTGAAATTTTTTTTAAAAAAATTCTTTTTTTTTATGATAAAGTTTTTAAACTTTTTAATTTTTTTTATCTAATTTAATTTTTATTTATTTATAAATTAAATTTTAATATATTTAAATAAATTATCAATAAATAAAAATAATATT